TGTGACATAGGAGCAAATGGAAAATAAATCTTTAATAGGAAACATGGAGCTGTGGTTTTGGAGAGCAGAAAGAGCGAGGGAGGAAAAGCAAATTTTTTTAATACTCAGTTCACACCTCTAGTAATGCTAATGGCTGCAAGTTGTTGCGTTCTAGTTCTTATTAGGAGAGCAGGAGTGAAGTTTGTGGGATATACCAACATAACTGAAAAAACCCTGAAATACTGAAGGTACTAAACAATGATAAAATTCAAAAAGGAAGCAGTCTTCAATCACAGACTAGTACCTTGAGCTGACAGTACAGATCTTCTGGCTTTCAACTGTACCTGCCCACACTGCCTCACATCCAGATCTTCTAGAGACCAAAACATTTATAAACTCTTGCTCTAGCAGCTGGCCAGAATTAGCGGGAGAGTGCACGTATACCCAACAGCACATCTGTGTCCTAATCTAAAATTCACTGCGACTGGGGAAAGGTTCTCACTGGTTTTACTGGACTGTGAACCTGACCCCAGAGCATCCTGTATCATCATTTGAAATTACATCTGCATCCTTGCCAACAAACAGCTTTCTAGAAGGCTCCAAGACCAGGTCAGTCACCGCCCCAAGTGACCGTCTGTATTAACACAGTACTTCCAAGAAGAAAAACAAGCAAGAAACTCACTCTGAGTTAAGCTTTGCACAGTATGAGGGCCCGTGTGTTAAAAGACAATAGTAGAAGTTTCGCTGACTTCAGTACAGTGAGAATTTCATACTTGTTTATTCTGTGGGAAGGACTACACTTAGGTAAAATGAACAGAGCATCATTAGAACATAAGACATCCCCAACTTCAAATCTCTTTGTAGCCTCAGGCCTTCTATCAACACATATTCAGCAGAACAAGGCAGGAGAGCAAAACAGACTTACCTTTACCAGCCATACCAATTTAACAAGAACACAAAGTCCAACAGAATGTATTATACTTCAATAATGCTAATAATAATAATAATAATAATAATATTTTTACTTTGTGAAACTTCTTATAGCAGATGTTTCAAGCAAACATATTTCTTACAATAAGTTTGACAAATAAATTTAGCTGAATAGAGTCAAAACCCATGCCATGGAGTACTGCAAAGCAGCTAGATACTGTTCTAGTACTTACCCATTTGGCTAGAGCTTCTTTGATAGTTGTTGCTTTTGCCTAAAAATGAAACAAATTTAAATAAATATTCCTTGCAAATTTTTAGTTGGCTTGTTCACTGCAAACCTATCTCCTCTCCCTTCTCTCTCCCTATCCTGCTTGTCTACCCCCTTCTACCACTTTCCTGTATTATCTTCCTCCAGCTGAGTCTAAGAAGCTGGAACCCCTCAGTGTCCTGTAATTTTATTTTCTGGGGTACTTGGTAGCATTTTCAGAAGCAATCAATTGGCTTCAAGCGAGGACGTTATCTTCCTGATCTTACTCTCTGCCCCGTGTGGAGCATGCGTTTGGGACACTGCTTGTTAGCTTTGATGGTGAAATTCAATTAAATTCAAAGACATAAGAAGTTACTGCACTGAAAAATGTGGTCTAATGCTCTTAAAACCCCACACTTTCTATTACTGTGCATTAGCAACTTCCTGTCTGAAAGCAAGTCTGTGAGTAGACAGAATGATACAGCCTCTTAAGATTCACTGAGGAAAATAAGGTACATCTTGCCAAAAATCAAGAGCGATCTGGATTGTTTATATTTGTTTTTCTCCCATCGTTTTATGTCGAGTCACATCATGCGATGTGAAAACATGTATTATTCAGTTAGGAAAAATCTGAGAGCTGCTGTACAAGGCTTTTTAAGGATTGACCCACTGACCAACTTTCTGTTGTCACTAACTCCAACTTTTCTGCCTCACATCAGAGTCTTATCAAAACCACACGATGATATCCAAATCAGTAGTACATAGAGAAACTCTGATGTATCCTAAACATTAAACATATTCCAAGATGTCTTTCAGATTAAAAAGGTTTCAGAGACCAATCTTCGCAAAAACTGATCAACAGCCTCCTTTCTACAAAAACAGGAGGACTCTAGTTCGGGCATCTCTATTGCTCTTAAGTGTAGCACTACCACATGTGCATAGAAGCAGCCTTGCAGGTAATCAGATACCAAAAAAACGACTGTAAAAGTTAAAACCAACAAACTAACTTCCATGCAAAATCTTACAGTCAATCACCTCGGTCACAGAGCTTTAGCGTTGGGTACTTTACTCTAGACCACTGGAAACTCTGGACCCAACGGTAAAAGACAACAGTCAAGGCAGCTGCATATAAAAGAATGGCTACAGCCACTGAACACCCAGCAGCAGTCTAAGACCCAGCAATACCAAGGAGTCCAAGCATGCATCTCAAATATCAATATATACCTTCATTTAGACATACATCACTGAGCACCCTCAGATGTTCCAGCTGCTTCCGCCCACTGACAGGCATTCGTTTTAATCCTGTTTTTTTATCCTACCATGTGGTAGCTAGCTCTAGGTCCCATTGCAGATGACCTGGGAAACTTGTGCCATGGCGGTACCTCCTTGGTGTCTGCTGCAGATAAACACCTGCACGACCTCCTCCTGTTCAGATGATCACGTCCCTAGTTCCCACTCCAACAGCCTCATGAAACCCAATTAACAGCTACCAGTGTGCCAGCAAAAACAACTGGCTTCCAGTTAATCAGGTTTTTTGGACAAGAACTTCATTGCATTTTTCATAATTATGGTAGCCGATTGTTACGGCATTCGGGTACATGATCTCGGTCGCTCATGTTGAAGACAGAAACGGATTTACATGACCAGCGCCTGCTTCTGTTTCAAACTCACGCCTAAAACCAGATTGGACTTTAAAGCTAGTGATCCCCATGAGCACAAGGAGCAGCTTCTTCCCTGACCTCTGCTGACTTGTCTCTCCCATTGTAATATCCGATTTGGTGGAAATATGAAAATCAGTGTAGCAGGTTATCTGGAGAACATGTATCAGGGATTTCATTTTCTTTGAAGTGCACTTGAAATTTCTGTAGATAAATCGTAGTATCTTCTGCCAAGGGAGGTGACTTAAGGGAAACCTCCCTCTGAGAAGCCTATTTTCAGGGTTCCTCTACCTGCATATTGAACAATTTCCTACACGTATTTAGACTAAAGAAAGTCATATTACTTAAAATATTCGAAATGCCAAGTGATCAATAGCTGAAATTGTCACCCTGAAGAGTCACCATCAACATGGCAGGAACAAGAAATATTAATACCTTAAGGGGGAAAAAAAAATCCCTGTACATATAAAAGTTGTAACAAAAGAAATATTTTTTCCAAAAAAAACATGGCTGTTGGACACGGAGTATTTATAAAATTCAGACCCCCAAGAAAAAGTAAAACAGTGACACTTTGCCTTCATTTGCAAACATTTATTTGTATGTTAAATAGAGCAAATCAGAATCGCACAGCAACAGATACCAAGCTAATCACTGCAGCAGTCGCAGATACTGCTGCCTTGAAAACACGTACTAACTCAGTTTTTTATATGATGGCATCCCAGACTCCCCACTACTTCCATCTATCCTTGAAATCCCATGGCATGGCACAGTTAACAGGCCACAACTCCCCCGCCTCAGCCAACGCCCCCAGCACCGTGCTTCCTTCTAG